TGGTTTATTATTTACATCATCATCCATATGTATGTATATATATATATATATAATATATATATATATATATTAGATATATATATATATATATATTATATATATATATATATATATATATATATTATATATATATTATATATATATATGTTTCTTGACATTGTCAAGAAACATGTCACCCCACAGACGGAAACAACGTGAAGCTGCTGATCTACTACAAAAACAAGAAGACAGCAAACATGATCATGCGGAACAACCAGCACAAGGAACCGGACCTCAAGTGTACCAATGTGGTATATGAATTCATATGCCCCGATGAGGACTGCAAGCCTCCACGCCCGAAATCATGCTACATTGGCCACACCACCAACACACTGTCTAAACGCCTCACATTTCATAAGCAGAACGGCGAAATTCAAAAACACATGAAGCTGCAACATGGAAGGGACGTGACCCGGAGTGACTTGGCGGAAAACACGCGCATATAATCTCGCGAGTCGAACCGTAAGCGGCTGAAGGTGCTGGAGGCCGTCTTTATTCAGAAGAGGCGGCCATCCATCAACATTCAGCGCGACCATGCCGGCATCATTACGCTGCATGATATCTGCGCGTGACGTGTGACTGCATGCCCAGTAGGTGTGCAGCAATACAGTGTTTAGGTTTGTGTATTTCCTCTCCCGTGGAGGATCGTGTATTATGAAGGTAGTGTGCAAAACCATAGTGAATTTAAATATGATCAAAAAGTTTTATATCAACTGTTTAGAACTTTGCATCGCTGCCATGTACTAACTGCCATGTTATTATGCATTTCAGACCCTGTGGAACAGTCCTTTTCGGCTATTTCTCGCTGTATATGCGTTTGATTTTAACTAAACTTTGGCAGTGGTAGTTTGAGATCCCTACCTAATTTTATTAATATGGTCTATTAACAAAAAATGAAAAATAAAGGCAAATGTCATTGACTGATAATGTTAAGGTCGTCAGAGCCCTGCTTAGAGGCTGGCACAGGCTGGGCGCTGCCTCCCCTCTGATTGGTCGTGACGTACTAGCACACTGCGGCTTGGCTCCGCCCACTTGCGGTCCTGCCTCGGGTCATGCCAGCCGCAGTCGCAGTCCGACCGGCCGGCGTGCGGGTGGTGCGCGCGCGGAGCGGTAGAGTGGCGCACTTGTTCGCATGTCATTAACTTTTGATAAGTTGTTCTGCAACAAATACTGGACGGAGGAAGGAAGAAAAAGGAAGAAGAGACAAAGTGACAATGACACGAACGGTAGACTGTGGCTAGTGGACAGCAAACAATGTACGTAAACGCTAGAGCAGAGACAGGAGACAAAGACGGTAGACGAAAGACAGACAAAGATGGCAGACCAGAGACAAGTGACGGAGATAGAGATTATAGACGACAGACTGACAAGGGGAGTGAAGGATGGTAGATCATGAACTCTCGATGTTGAATATCTACATTATCATATCCTATCTTTCCTTGTTAATTGCTTTTCGGCCTTAAGCTCTATCAACCATATCCTTAAAGCATTGTGGAAATATTATGGACGTTATGCGCCAAACTCCATATAGAAGCGGACATTGGGGTTCAGATTGTTATTATGAGTAAAATATAAGTCATTTTCTTCATTAAACGGTTGTTTCTCTATGCGGCGATCATTTATGAAGCACGCCACACTTAGTTACCAACGAGCGATATCATAATAGCTCCATTTTTGGCAGTATACTGGCTGCGGCCGAGTGCGACGGTGGCGCCGACTATCGGCTACTCGTGCAACTAGGCCTCGCGGTGGCTCCGGCGGCCAAACTTCAGATGAAAACGTCCCTGTGTGGAGACTTAACGATAAACTGAAAAATGCGATATAATGCAATTAAATTCAGTAATATGCGTTTACCCTGACGTATTTTTTACCAATACTCGGGGAGAATTGGCACCGGGATTTGGCAGGAGAAGATAAAATGTTTATGAACATTCCAAATTGTATTATACCTACATTGCATTGTCAAAATATGTCTCAATATATGCGAGACGTCATGCTGTTTGCCGTAGTATAGCGAAATTGTTTCATGAAAGACTCAATACAAATATAACGGGAGTGATGTATCTTAATTTCATTTGGTGGTGCAAATATTTTTTTCTTCCATGTCCCGATCCCGGGTCGAATTTTTCTCTCCTATGGATAAAAAGTGCAGAGATGTGTTGCTCAGTTAGTGAGCTACAGCGTAGTATAGCGACATTTTTATGTAAGCTGCCTATTTTTTCATACTGTGCTAGTTTCCACGAAAATCCGTGCATACACTGACCAATATTTTTTTCTTCCATGGCCAGATCCCAGGTCCAATTTTTATCCGCTATGGATAAAAATGCATAAATATGTTGCTCAGATGGTAATCTACAGCGTAGTATAGCGACATTTTTATGTAACTACCCTATTTTTTCATACTGTGCTCATTTCCACGAAAATCCGTGCTTACGCTGACCAACATTTTTCTCTTCCATGGCCAGATCCCAGGTCCAATTTTTATCCGTCATGGATAACAAATACATAGATATGTTGCTCAGATAGCGAACTACAACGTAGTATAGCGACATTTTTATGTAACTTCCCTATTTTCTCACACTGTGCTCATTTCCACGAAAATCCGTGCTTACACTGACCAACATTTTTTTCTTCCATGGCCAGATCCCGGGTCCAATTTTTATCCGCCATGGATAAAAATACATAAATATGTCGCTCAGATGGTGAACTATACCGTAGTATAGCGACATTTTCATGTAACTTTATTTTTTCACACTGCGCTATCACCCATCAAAATCCGTGCTCTCACCGACCTTAGTTCTCTGGCGTTGTCGATAGGCGGCGCTGGCGTCGCGTCCCGCGCTATGGCCGCGCCTGGCGCATAACGAAAGATTGAATATTGTTACCCCCAAATATCTTAAAAAGTAATACAAAAACGAAATACAAGCACATATGTGGATACCCTCAATTAAATAAGGCCGTTGAATGTCACATATGTACCTAAAGACAATGCGGTAGATTCTGTCTCGTTACTCATTGAATGCACCATAGCCTGTAGGAAAACGGTCAGCGGAGAAGCTTGCTATAAATTATTGAAAATAAGATGCTTTAATTTTGTAGGGAAAACATTCTGCAGGATCTTAATTTGTAGCTAGAAGGAGTGCTTATCGTTTTATACATACACCGATCTGCATTGCATTCTTTCCGTCCTTATTCTCTCCGCGCGAGACACGACACATATTCATGCAAGGGAAGGTGCGTTAGCGTGTGTCTTCTTCCAGTCCTTTGCAGAGCTCCGCGTCCCTCTGAGCCCGAGCGGCGAATGACCGGTCCCGGTGTCGCGGCGCGGTGGGCGGAGCTTAGCTGCGGCGCAACAGCTGACGCTGCTACGCCGTGCTAGCCTCTACCACGGCGCAGAGTTTTCCGATCACTTTTTACCATTACAAGTCAATGACAAGTGCCCTTCATTTTGACATTTTGTTAAAAGACCATATTAGTAAAAATTAGGTAGGGCCTTGAAACTCATTGTGTCAAAGTTTGGTTGAAATCAAGCGTTTAGGTAACGAGAAAGAGCCAAAAAGGACTGTTCCAGGTGGTCTGAAATGCATAGTAGGTCGTTCAATAAGTAAGGTAAAATCGCATTTATTTCAGTCCACCTTTGGTGTAACGACATGAAACTTGCAACATATGTTAATTGAAATATTGTCTTCAAAATGGCTATAAGCATTTGGTAGCAGGTCCCATCGGTCAACCACCCCAGCCTTCAGAACTCGCACCTACTTCCAATTACCGTTCAGGCGCACGTGCTTATCTCAGCACTCCACCAAACACTGAAAACCCGCTCGGAAAACTCCTTATTGATGTTTTTTACCATGTCTTTTTATTTTCTTGATTGCCTCATCCGTAAAAAGTTATTCCCGGAAACAGAACGTCTTCCGGCGATCCGAACAGATTGAAGCTGGACGGCGCCAGATCAGGGCTATACTCCAGCATTCCTGTACTGAAAGAGCAAAGCCACCCCCGCACTGATGCCTAGTCGGGCATCCTTCTGTTGTTGAGTGAACTCTTTTGGTATCCATCTCAGGCAGACCTTGAAAATATTTAACGTATCTGATGATGCCTGTAGCTGATTCGACAGAACACTTCACTCCGTAAATGAAGTCAGTCAAGCGAATGCTTTGGGTCTCCATCATCACCTCGCTGATTTCACGGATGGTGCCAGATCCAGAGGGTCCTGCAAGCATAGGTCTGCCTGCCGTAGAATTTTGTCTCTTACACTGCCGTATCACTACCCACTTCCCACCACTAAGCATTGTGAATGGTCATGTGGCGTCATCAGGGTACAATTTGCTGCCGACGCCGGTTTCGAGATGAACTCGCTGAGCTAACGGGCGAAGCAAAGTATTTTCACTAAAACGGAAAAAAATCTTAGTATGAGCGGCCCGACCTGTAACGATTTTGAGAGGTTTATATAAAAGTAACCACTGCACAGGGCTGATTGACCTGCGGTCTGTTTTTTTTTCTTTCTTTTTTTTTTGCTGGGCAGCCTAATAACTATCCCTTCTACGCCGTAATTAACTTCTATTGACAGGGCTGCGGAGTCGATGAATTTTTTAGGACTGACTCCGACTCCGGCTCCGCACACCTGGCAGGGCCGAGGAGGCGGCAGATTTTCGGTGACTCCGACTCCGGTCTCGGTTTCCAAAATCGACTACGACTCCGACTGCGACTCCGGTCACAGCTGTCGACTCCAACCGATTCCGACTTCGGCTTCGACTCCCACTCCGACTCCGCAGCCCTGTATATTTATAAATCTAAAGGCGTCTGTCGTGGCACGTGCCATGTGAAAAGTTAAGGGTGCTCAAATTCTTTTCCTTAAGTATAGAGCTTTCGAAAGACCTATAGTAAAGGTCTTTCAAAAGGATATATTATCCCATATATGCATAGACGTACATAAATGTACGTCGATTTGTGCTGACCAACGTGTGCTATACTTCCAGATAAAGAGTTGATGAGTTACCAAATGCGGTCGTTCTGAGGCATTTACATTCTAATCTGTCAGGTGATCACAAAAAACACGGTGCCTGCTCTTTCAGTGTAGAGTCAGAGACGTTTGATTTGTTTGTGCCGTCGCGAGAAGAATTTTACCCGTTCATGCGCTCGACACAGGGTGAGTCAAGGGTTCTTAATCGTTGTTAAATGCTTCCCCCGCCTTAGCTTTCTTTTTCAACAATCTGCTTAAGTATGGCCCTAAGTTCATGAGTGGTGGCATTAAAATATTAACTTCACTTTTCATGCTATCCAAAAAATAACACGTTTCACAAAAACGAGCGTACAATAATGTACGTCTATGCATATCCGTTACATAATGTTTCGTAAGCATGATACAAGTTTATGCTTTGGCAGGATGGCAACGCTGAACCTCAACGATGTCCTGGATGGCATCGAGGAGCAACCTGAAGAGTTCGCTGACGTCACGGCCGTCGTCCTAGAGCCGCCGGAGGTCCGCGTCGACACCGACGAAGACTCTGGCGACGAGGAGACTGCCGACCTGGCCCACCTGACGGGGCCGCAACTGGTCGCTCCCGCCGAGATCGTCGGTCGAGACGCCGTAGACGAGCCAATGTCCAAGAAACAGACCTGGTCGTTCAAGAAAGGCGCTTCAAAGTCTGGACTGCCGATGTTTCCAGACGGTGACTACCGCCCCTACAGCGGCATGATGCCGCAAGAGCTGTTCGAGCTGTTCTTCACAAGCGACCTTCTCGAGCACGTGCAAGAGCAAATCAGGCTATACTGTGCTTTCAAAGGGAAGCAGGACCCGCTCGTCACAGTCGAAGAACTGAAAGTGTTCCTGGGAATCCTCATCCTCAGTGGGTACGCCTCCTACCCCCGTCGACGCATGTATTGGGAAGAAACCCCTGACGTTGGCAACAATCTAGTCGCAAATGCAATGCGGCTCAACCGGTTCGAAAAGATCATGGAGGTGCTTCACTTCCAGGACAACACCAAACTTGACCCTGATGATCGGTTCTGCAAGCTCCGGGGGGTGTCCAACCACCTGGAGCAGCAGTTCATGAAACACTTCGTGCCCACTCAGAGTCTCTCCCACGACGAAGCTCTGGTCGAGTACTTCGGTCGCCACTCCTGCAAGCAGCACATCATCCAGAAGCCGATCCGATTCGGATATAAGATCTGGTGTCTAAACACTCCATCTGGATACTGCGCGGCCTTCAACTTCTACCAGGGCAAACACGGCAAGCGGAATGAAGAGATGGTCAAGCAGTTCGGCAAGTCTGCCGCTACGGTGCTGGAACTGCTGGACAAGCTTCCCCCAGAGATCGCAAAACTCCCGTTCCACATCTGCTGCGACAACCTGTTCACATCCCTCGACCTCCTAGCGGAGATCCAGAGGCGCGGGTTCCATGGCACTGGTACCATGCGAGCGAATCGCCTTCCGAAGGCAAACAAGCTCACTGACGTCAACGCCTTCAAGAAGAAGCCGAAGGGGACCATGGAAGAAGTTACGGCTTCCAGTAACAGCTCCAGTGTGGCTGTCGTCCGCTGGATGGACAACAACGTGGTCACCGCTGCGTCCACCGCCTTCGCTGCAACGCCGGCTGGCTCTGTGAAACGCTTCAGCAGAAAAGACAAGAAGAAGACGGAGGTGCCGGCCCCAGCAGCGATCCTGGCGTACAACCAAGGGATGGGTGGCACAGACCGCCAGGACCAAAATGTAAACAAGTACAGGATCGCGATTCGGGGTAAGAAGTGGTGGTGGGCCCTCTGGACATGGCTCATCGACGTCGCGGTGCAGAACGCGTACGATTTGGCCCAGAAGGCTGGAAGCCCTTCTGCTGAAGATCAGCTGGAGTTCCGGCGTGCAATCGCCCGCTTCTACCTGCAACACTACGGGACCCCACGCTCTGGCAAAGGACGCCCCCGTGCAGATGATCCGACAGCCACAGAACTGCGCTTCGACGGGCGTAACCATGTGATCCAGCGATCATCAAAAGCGTAGGGTGTGTGCTTACTGTAGGGGCGCCCGTCCTACGAGTGTGCAAAGTGCAACGTTGGCCTGTGCACTGGGTGCTTCGCTGTGTTCCACACTCGCTAGAAGCTGGGTGTTCTGTAGGTGTACGGCCAATGAAGGTCTGGCTAGCGTTCGTAAGCTTAGCCTCACAGTTCCAGTTACGCACGTTATCAAACAAAATGTGCAATGCAATGTGTGTATGTGTTGCATTTCGCGTGTTTCGTGGCCCAGGATGCAGTGCAGTTGCACAGTCCACTGCAGTGCTGCTGATTTTCAGCATTGATCCAGAAACGAGTAAGAACCCTGGCAGCATTTTTGCTGCACCGTTCAAAGTCCAGTCGAAGTGCCCTTGGGATGACGAATTTCTCAGGTCTTGATCTGATGTCACAACTCACACGCTGCGTGTGTTTATCTGGCCAAAGGTTATTAGTGATAAGTGAATACCAACACAGTCCCATAAATATGTGCCTGAAATGTGTTTGCTGATTTATCATTCAATATAAGTGAAACATGTTTTGGACATTTGTTTCTAAGTTCAATGTATTTATTTATGGATTGTAACCGTCATTTTCAAAGAGCTCTAAAGAACACATCATAGCATAGGTATATCATATCTGACCATACAGACCATACACACAACATAGGTCCCCTCAGGCTGAGGGCAGAGTCGTCCCCACCCCAACTTGCCCTTCACACATTTCCCCTCAAGTGCGCATGACGTTAGCAATGTATCAGGGATATCGGACATATTATTTCAGGACGGCGGCAGCAGACTTAACAATTGTCTTATTGGACGCTGGCATAGACGTACATTTTTGTACGTCACTTTGAGCGACCATACCAGGCAAGGGCAAAATGCAAAAACAAAATAATTAGTGTCAGGGGCGTAGAAACATATTGTTTAATAATGCTACAAAGTTTCAAACAAAAAATCGGCAAAAAAATAATTCATGCATATATGGGTTAATACATATCTTACCAGCGCTGGGGAAAGGGGGTTGGGGGGTTGGACGTATCCTGCGTTTTTCGCAGATATTGAGTAAAAAAAAAAAACGGCAGCGCAGAGCAAAACCGTCTTCGCCACACCTATTAATGCAAGTTTCCCGCACATACTGTGAAAGTTTCAAGCCCATGCCTCTCAAGGTCAGGTCACCAGGTAGGTCACGTAAAGTGACCTCGCCTCAGAAAAAAAATTAAAATGCTCGTCATAGCCACATTGACTGAACGATCGCCTTGAAACTTTGAGCGATTGATAAGAGCGATGTGCATTAAATTTTAATTTCGTAATTTTGATATCGCTGAGCTAAGTTTAGGACAATCTGCGACCTCTCTATTTTTGTTCAGTTGGAGAAAATTGAAATACGTATTACCTACAAGACAAACGGTATTCTAAACACTCAAATATCATGACACCAGTAAACTTGACACACTGAATAAGACAATAGCACATGGGAATAGAGGCCATCGCAGGTCATGAAAGTTCCCCGGCGGATTTTGCCTTTGATTAGAGCGATGAAAACATCTTCGATGTGCTTGGGTCGACGATGCGCATTGACTGATGCGCAACATGACCTCTTCCGGACAGGTCATGACCTTGAACTTGTTCGTTCCTTGCTTGAGTCAAAAGTGTTTAAAAGTCTATCGAACGCGCTTTTCTACGGCACTGCATCAATATTGGTTCATTTAAGTTATGCGCCGGTGTTTCAGAAAATGTTTAAATATGCACCACTTAACCTTTGTTGACATCTGGTGACCTAACCGTTAACCTGACCTATAAACTGATCGAATTATTTTCGTCTTGATTTTGAACGTTGTTTCAAATGTCGCTTACCGTGCGTTGCTACGTGGCCCATAGACTGAGTTAACCCTCGCCCGTATTGTTGTTTAGCCAGCCACGAACGTATAGGGGAGGGGGGTCGTTGGATACCCCTTGCCGTTTGGCCTCTGATGGACTTAGAGCTTCGCGGACAAAACGAGCGTGTTGTTGGTGACGAGAGGAAACAAAAAATGTCTATTTTTAACCCTCGCCGGCACAGGCCATTTTGAGTCCTTCGACGGCACAAGGGGGGGGGGTGGTACGACCCCCCCCCCTCGCGTTTGGCCCCTGATCGAGCTAGAGCTTCGCAGAAAAAACGAGCGTGTTGCCCGTCACGAGACGAAGCCGATGATACCCAATTTTAAGGTCCTAGGTCATCGGGTGACCTTCCAGGTCAGGTCAATGACCCGAAAACCGGGAAAATCGGGACCTGTTAGAAAGTCGTAAAGTGTGGCTGCTATGTGGTTTTTCGGGGTGCTGATCACGAATATAGTGTTAGTTTTGATGAGAGATGATGTCTTTAAGCATTTAGACCAGGTCGGGTCAGGTCAGGTCAGGTCAACCGGTAGGGGTTGTGACGGGTATTCGTAATACGTGTCAACCGCCTCGGACAGCTTCGTAACATGTTACGAAGGCACCAAAACTACTTCTTAAATGTTCAAATGGTTACTAAATTCGAATTCAGCTCCAAAAACTAGCCAAGAAACATGTAAAACTCGAAAAAGTGAACCGAGGTCACCCGAGGTCACCAAAGGTCAATGACCTGACCTGACCTTCAGGTGACCTTGACACCCACCCTAATGCATGGGAGCAACATCAAATCACATGTTTGAACATTTGAAACCACGAAAAGCTTGCAAACGCGCGTCTAATGCGAGCCGACAAGCGCCGAACCGCGATTTCGGCCAAACATGATCACAGAAAAGAGGTCACAGGTCAAAGGTCATTAGGGTCAGGGTCATGAAATTTTCAGGGTAGGTGTAAAATTGATCAATGCGAGGGTACTGAAAGTTTCGTCGCGATCGGCCGCTTTTTACGCGAGTTATTCGCGAAAAACCTTAGGGGGGGTTGCATCAACCCCCCCCTGTGCCGGCGAGGGTTAAGGTCCTAGATCATAAGTTGACCTTCCAGGTCAGGTCAATGACCCCAAAAATCGGAACAATGGAAACTGTAAGCTAGAACGTCGTAAAGTGTGGCTGCTAGTTTTTTTCGGGGTGCTAATCACAAATATCATGTTAGGTTTGATCAAATCTTCACGCATTTAGGCCAGGTCGGGTCAGGTCAGGTCAGGTCAACCAGTAGGTTCTTGCCGGGTATCTATAGTAGGTGTCAACTGCCACTCACAGCTCCGCAACATGTTACAAAGGCACCAAAACTGCTTCTTAAATGTTCAAATGGATGCTAAATTCTAAATGAGTTCCAAAAACTGTCCTAGACACGTGTAAAACTCGAAAAGTGAATCAAGGTCACCGAAGTTCAATGACCTAACCTGAGTTTCACGTGACCTTGACACCAACCTTGACACCAACCTTTAACAATCCTGAAAATGGCTAATTCATTCATAGTCCCTGTGCTTTAGAACGGCCTGGTCGGGTCGCGCCAGACTGTCTGGATCGGCTTCTGGCCGAGACATAGCTTCGGGCTATTGACCCGAGTGACCCCGGCCCGCGTCCACCTCCCTGCCCCACGGAACCGGCCGACTGGCCCGCCGACCGGTTTAGCCTCTGCGCTGGTCACCGACTCATGCCTGTTTACGCACCCAACTCGCACTACCATTCCGTAGTAAGCGGCTGTCAGCTGAGCTCATTGAAGGCATGGCAGGGACGGTTCTAGGAGGGGGCAAAAAAAACTTAGTCTTAGGACGGAAAATACAGACTTCTGTGTATTGTAGCGACACGGAGAGGTGGGTCCTAACAAGGGGTTCAAACAAAGTCGTGTGGTATTGCGCGTCCCTCCGTCAGGACTTCCGCGCACTCGGTAGCAGAGCCTTTGAGATATTGGCCGGTTTCGCTGAAGCAACTAGAACCTACCACGCAATGAGCAGAGGGCTGTACGTGCCTGTAATTGTTCGTGCATTTTAGGAGTATTCGTGTGGCTACACGACCTACAACTTCAGAAATAAAATTATGCTTTCAATGATATGCAGAATGCGGGGGTTTTGCGAAATACTATTATACTACAACAGAAATTGTTCTGTGACGGTCCCTTACCGATCACGATCGCCTACTTTGTCGATACCGCTATCGTGGCCCTAGAAGTAGTCGAGGTGGTCCCTGAGACAGCCAAAAGGGAGCCATTAACCCTATTCCTGGCGGGCTCCGCCGGGACAAGAAACTCGCCCCCCCCTTCAGATCTCAAAAACTACACATCGCAGCGACAAACGGCGAACGGCGTTTGATAGGTCGTTTAAAGATCTACAACTTTTACATAAAACATTTTCAGGTAAGGTCAATATTGAGGTCACCAGAGGTCATCAACGATAAAATGTTTTGGAATTAGTTACCTATATAACTTTTAAACTAAGAAACAAAGAGACATAAAACCAATACATTTTTTGTTGCTCTCGCCGAGGCGATGCAAAATAAGTATGTGATGACCTTCACAGGTCAATTTAAAATTTGACCTGAGGTCAGGTCATTCATCAATGAGGTTGTGGGGTATGGTCATGCTGCATACCAAACGACGCGCCTTGACCAGGCGAGCAGTTTGGTACCACTTACAAGTCTTTAGCACCATCATGTCGTGATTTATTGACAGAAAAACGATTTATGACGTCACATGACCTCAGATGACGTTTGCCGGTGCCCCTGTCAATTAGCGGCACCAGGATCATCACCGATGAGATAATCTTCCGTAATACTGAAAGAACTGGGTGTTTTTGACTCGTTTACACGAAGCAGGAGGCGTTTCAATATTTTCCCATAGGCTTGCAATGTAAAGGTCACGAGTCTGGCCTGACCTCAGGTCACAGATATGAAAATTCTGAGACATAAAAATTGCACATACTGGTACCCTAACTAAAGCCTGAAGAGAAGAAATTGATCGGTCAAAAACTCTAGCTCTGGCGTGATTGCAAACTTTTCTGAGGTAGGGTCACCAAACCGCCTCTGGTGACCTGACCTGAGGTCAGATCAACTCAAAATTTTCAGAAATGTTGCGTAAAAGCCTTTAAGAAAAAGTCAGAAAATTTGAGCTTCCTAGCTCAAAGCGTTTGGGAGATATAACCAAAAAACCTCAGGGGGGGGCTCCTGAGGCCCCCCCCCGCCAGGAATAGGGTTAAACAGTCTACAATCTTTACACAAAAACTTGACTCTTCCGAAATGAAGTGGGTGATTGGTGAAAAATCAGTACCTATATTTTAGGAAAGTGAGGGTCCCTCTAAGGAGCCCCTAAAACAGTTTGACAAACTAGGGGATAGGAATCTAAATACTGAACCAATCAAGAAATTGAATCTCTCATCAGCCTTACGTATAAGAAGAGCATACATTTACCGTTTTGGTGGCATCACCTTGCATTTAAAAAGAGCGAGAACATACACTGCATAGATGTGGTTGCCAAACGTTGAGCGGGAATATAAATACCTACGCCTTATTTTATAAGCCTGAACTTGGATCCAGGGGGAGAGAGTACCTAAGTCATATCACTCCAGTCATAGACCCGCTTTTCACCACCACGGTCCACGCTCCCCCCCCCCCCCGTCAACACGTTTTCCACTGCTGTTTTTTCCCTCCCCCCCCCCGGTCAGCACTTTTCGTCGCCGCCCCCACCGGCGCCCAGGGCTCAGCCCCCCCCCCCCCCAACCTATTTTGCGATCCTACACCCCTGAGTGCAAGTCTCATGTTTATTATTTTCATGCATTTGAAGCTGGAAAGATGTGACATTATTTTTCGGACACCCTGTAATGCTTGCTCTGCCTCTGTCTCCGTCAGATATGTGCATAGATTCGGGAAAATGGATCTGAGATCCGATGCCATGGATCTAGATCTGGTATCCACTCGGATCTTAGATCAAAATCCTCAAATTTGTCGAGAGATCCATTCAGATCATAGATGTGACCCAGCAGTTTTGTCGAGAGATCCTCCCTGCCTCCATCCTTTGTCCCTCCCTCCCTCACTTCCACTCTCTGACTGTCGCTCTTTGACCCAATCATATGCTCACTTACCCCTCCCCATCTGCCTGTCTCCCTCCCCTCCCCGCTGACCCAATCATATAATGCTTTAAAACTCC